ATTCTCAGGATATAGTACAGATATGTTGAAAACTGCCTTTAATTCGGGCTCATCCCAACATGGAAACACTCTCCGAGCCATGTTAGGTTGCATGATGACTAACCTATATTAGAACATATTGTAAACATAAAATATTTTAACCATTCTATAACGTAAACGATGTGGAAAAGAGTTTTCTACATATATGGATAAATTATACATAGAAAAATTCGGATATATTAGCATGTGTCGCGATAGTAGAGAGTAGCGCGCTCGAATGCTAGAGTTTGTAGTGCAGCCCATTTAGTCTAACAATAGCTGTCGACGTACTTTTTTCCTTTAGTTACGCGACGGCGACTGTTATTAAGCAAAGTGGTTCGCTAGAAATTCGAACGTCCGAGCGCGCCATCCAGTACCGCCGCGACACACGCTAATTCATCCCATTTATTCCATGCATAACTTCATCCATTTTAACGATTTTTGCAAAATGCCATTTGATCCTTTTCTTTATCTCAATCAGCTGTATGCCTCTATTGGCTATTTGTGTTAGCAAACATAAAGCATATATATGAATTATACAGGATGTTCCACAACTTGCTACAAGAAATTCGTGGAGATATAGAACGAATTAAGACAAACATATAGCCTCATACTGTTTTGCGATATTCGCAATAATTAATGAATTATTGATTATAGAAATGTGACGAGTGAACGCACACAGATATGCATGATTTGAGAAGAATACAGCTACCCGTGTTATTGCGCGGTCCAGTCGATTCAGCAACTGTTGTCGGTGATGAAGAGAAGGACAATGTGCCGCGCTGCTTGTCTTATTTTAATGCCGAGATGCCATTCCTAGATCTCGCCGCACGACAGCTGAATCGATTGAATCGCGTTAAGCCCGAACAACTCTTCTAATATTATCTCGGCGCACGATCACTTATTAGATTTTTATGATTCATAACTCGATAATTATCGCGAATATTGCAAAACAGTATGAGACTTTTATATTTGTCTTAATGTGCCATATGTTCCCATGTTACGAATTCATTGTATCGACTTATGAGATATTCTCTACATAACTCATAATATTAATATTGTCTGCATATGATCTCACAAAATTGTACGAAATTTAATTTATATATATGTCAATACTGAAAAAAGGCTGGTATACAAATGTAAATTATGTAAATGCTTGTTTTCGTAATTATGATCATTTTTAATTGATTTATATATCGACATAGGGATTCTGAACAAATACTTTGTCGATAAATATTTTACAAGAAAACGTTGAATTAATCGGTTTTATTTTTATTTTTACGAATGATAACTAAATAAACCAGTATAACCAGCATAACACTTTACCAGCAGAAAAGAATGTTTACATACAATGGTTAGCTGTATGATTCTCGTAAATTCTTACCTTGCTTTCTCAAGATTTGTTCCACTTTTCTTGTATTCGTATTTAACTACACCGTTCCAAANAAATACTATAAACTTTAAAATTGAACACCCTGTATATCAGTCAGCTTTACCAGAGAGCGTGACACTTTTGAATTTGAAGGCAAATGATCGGCATCGTAAACATTTTTTAATTCTTCCAATCGCTTGTCGATCATGTACAATCCTCATTAAATATGAAATTTTGCTACGTAATGCAGAAGTAACTAATAACATGAAAAATAATTGGATTTTTGTGCATGACGGATATTAATCTTATCGTCAGATACCTTGTATAAAAATAATTACTAAAAAATATATAATTTATATTTTAGTCTGCGACGCTAATTTCTTAGCGCCGGCAAATTGCCGTCGGTCCACGCGTCCACGGCCTTTCACGCACACCAAAACGAAACGATATGTTGGGCGCCAGGTGCGGATAGCCGCACCACTCACCAACGATAACCGCGAATTCGGCATGACCGCGACGCGTAGTCCCTCGGGATTTTAAGTCGGGAGACGGGATGGGTTCGATCGGGAATCGATCGGGATCACGCGAAGAAAGAAACAAGCGGCGTTCTTATTATCGAGATCTCAATTTATTCATTCGGGAATCGGCACGCTCTGATGCCCCACGGGACGATATAAATTTTCCCTCCGCGCGTACTCGCGAGATCGAAACCGCTCTTTGTTACAAAACGCAAACGTCCGACGATAGACGCAAACGGCACACCGAAACAATATAGCAGGTGAACGCTCTTACACAGTCGGGAACCTCCCGGTGGCGTGATCCTTGATGGTCGTCGGGCAGTCGATCCGGTCGTGAGGTCAGCGGTTGTCCTTCCTCCGGTCTCACTTCACTCGGTATCGCAATGCACTGCAAGGCACTGCACGACGCACCCCGCTCTTTCTCAATAGAGATCGGAATCCACGAATTTCGTGAGCGGTACGAGAACGCTTTCTCTAACGAGAGCGGAACACAAAACTAATCTGTCGCTTTGGAGGAGACAAAACGAAGTCTGCTCCTCCTGCCACGAAAACGAATCTTTTCGTTGTCAGTCTAACAACGAATCTTAACTCTTTTTCGTAACAAACCAAAAACGAATCTACCCTTTCTTTCGGCTTCCTCGTCTTTTCGTTGTTTTGGAAGGGGTTCTTCTCTCCCCGTTCCTCGCCTATTCCGACGGTACGGTAATCCTTCCGCGGATCGTTGTTGTCGATCGGCGGAACGGATGCTCTATCTCGCTCTCGCTCTCGCTCTCTCTCTCTTTCTCTCTCTCTCTCTCTCTCTCTCTCTCTCCCTCTCTCTGTCTCTTTCGCTCTTTTTTTTTTGTTAACGGTGAGGAAATCCATCATGGACACCTTTGGTCCTGAAGGGAGCCCTAAGGTTATGCCGGACTCCTACCGGCTAAAACTCCATCGTAGTGCCTGTCAGATAAGTCTATCAGTCGAAAGCTGATCAGAGAACGACCGGGGAACTACTCCTGTATTCCTTCCCGAACGCTCTCGACTTCTGGACCCGGAGGTCTCTCTTCCTGCTACCATACTTCCATGGCTTGTTCACCAGTGTCATCCATCCAAACAGGGATGGTATGACTTTGAGAGGTAAGGCGGCACTCGAATCCTTTCCTACCCCCCTCACTTCCCTTCGTATTGGAGATAGGGGGTTATGGGAAGCGGGACCTGCCCTTCATCAGGTTACTCCGCTTCTCTCTCCTGCGATTACTCACAAGGGATTTGGCTCATCGCGCGTGTCCCCACTGGAGAGAGGCTAACCTCCCCTCTCCAACCCCACGCAAAAGAGCCCCACAGTTTCCTACTTCCGACTTTCGCACCGACCCCCCCCCTCGCAGTCCCATCTCCCCAGGAGGACAGAGTCCAGGAGGGCAGATCCATGCCCACTGGCCGAACCGTCACCATCAGTCCACGACTGACTGGTTCAGCCTGTACGAAAGTACGTCCGTCAGGCCACTCCCGCTCCCCCAACGGAGAGGCACCGCCCGAGGGAATCGGTACATTGCCAAAAGCAGGTTGCGCAATACCATTGCGCTCCGCTTCAGCCCCTAACGGCCAACCGACCCCACGAAAGGCCGCCGGCCTGGACTCCCCGACAGCTAACTCCGTACAGAGTCCGCCGTCCGGGATCCCGCTCTCTCTTTCGCTCTGTCTCGCCTGTTGATAACTTTTGTAAACATAAGGGTGCTATTATAATAATATATTCTTGAGGTTAAATAGAGCAGAAAAGTCTAGTACCACTTTTTCTTCCGACAAATAGTTAGCGAGATATTGTAAGTTAAATATTGAAAAAGTAATCAAGTTTTCCTCAAATATCTCAAAAAATATTAGACAAATATTAGACAAATGTTTGAGACAAAAGTTGTTCAATTTAACTAGTAGAAAAAAACGGTGTAATAAGAAATAAGGGTTCCTATTTAAAAAACGCAAATTGACCTCCAAATAACACTTGAAAATAGAGGTCAAGGTCAAAATCAAAGTCATCATAAGGTAGCTCACTTAAATCCCTACAACTTTTATTCAGATCATTTTCCTTGAAACTTCAATACTGAAGAGTTATTTGGGGTGGGACATTAAAATGGGACACTCTGTATAATACACTCTAGGTATGTAAATTAAATCAGTGCTTTCAAATTCACTCGTTCCTAAATTATATTTCGTGTTTAAAGATTTTTTGCCGCCATAATATAGTTTGAATGGACGTCATTTATGTTTACAAAATACTTGTGCCTCATCTACATGATCAATATGATCTCAAATATCAATTGTGCTCATAGTGGCTGCTGACAAAAGAGACATATCCACTAGCAATAAAATAAGTACTCCGAGCTCGACCTACGCCAAAAAATTTTCTATTTCTACCTCGGAAAGGACTGCTCTCCGAGGCAAATTAACTGAAAAATAAAATCGGAGTTAATTTGACATTCACATCCGAAATGTCCAGCTGAGTTGAACTTAAAAGAATTATTATTATATTTAAATTAAAAAGAGATCTTGAAAAAAGAAAACATTTTATTTATAGCCAACATCATTAATTAATATATACTATATACATAAAGAATGGTACGAATTACAGTATAATATATAAATATGTTTTACATCTGTATAGATATACAATATTATATAATATAATAATTATTGTAAATATTTGAAATGTAATAAAATTTTTCTGATATAATATTTCTAACAATTTATGGCGCAATGATTTATTTAATCCGCTAAACGAAATTAGTAATTAAAAGTAATATACGTATGACAATCTAGATTGTTGCAATTTGCTTGAAAAAATATATGCAGGACATTTTGCAAATGAGTGGATTATATATATACACATATAAATATATATGTGTGTGTATATTTATATATATATATGTATATATTTATATGTGTGTATATATATGTGTGTATATTTTTTTCTATATATCTTTCTGTATGAATCGTGTGCGTGAGTGCATGCGTATATATTTATGTATATGTGAAACACGTAATGGTTAAATTATAAACATTTTATAAACATGGTATATTATATAGATATTTATATAATTATATATGCATAATTATATAGTAATATACATTATTGTCATGTAATATACAATGTGTTTAAATCCATGTAAATAAAATATATAAAAATGTAAGAATAGTGTGACAATAAAATATACATTATCAAAATGCAATGATAAAAAATAGACATCACAATTTTAAACAGAAACTTCTCAATTCACTGCCCAGTTTACAATAGCCTTCAGTTTGGACACTTTAATTATTTGAATTCCATCACATTTTGTAAACTCGCTTGTTCAGAAATTATATATTTTCCTTTCCTTATTCAATACGGATTTCCAAAAATTACTTCTTTCATTTTATTAATTCTCTTCTTTTGAGCTCTCTCTAATTTCGATATGTCATACAGGTTTATTTTGAATAAGTCGGCATTATTTGCTGCAAATTCTACAATCTGAAACCGGTTATTTTGACAACTTCGTAAGACACCTGAACTTCATTTTTATCCATAATTTCTAACTTTAACGAAAAATAAATTATCACATGTGTTATGTGTTTGAAAATGAAGTGTGAGTTAATTAAACATATTAAACGCAAAGCAAAATAAACGAAAAAATACATACCTTAAAGAAATGTTCGCCTAAATATACATTCATTATCATATCACCAAACAGTTTTGTGTTTAAAGTAGTGCCTAGCCTCCTACAAATTAAAAAGAATTAATTGTTAATAGAAGCATTATACTTTCTCACGATCAGTCACACTACAATTATTTATAAGAGAGACAATTACCAAATTTCGATGTTCTTATTCTCCACGATGTATTTCAGAACATCATCCTTCCTTATGTGCTTCTTGAGAACAACACCATAAAGTTTAATCACCTCGTTATACGGTAGCATATTTTGACGAATGAAAGATAACATTACATCCATATACTTCACGATAATTTGTGCATCATCTGAGCAAAACAAATATCTCAAAATATCTATATCCGTGGTATTTTTATATTTTTCAAACAACATCTCCGATATAGTTTCGTTGGCCAAACTCATACCGGCACAATATACCCAATCCTTCCACCATGATGAAAATCTATGTGTGCGGAAAATATCAACCATTAGCGAAATTTAAGTTTGGATCATGTGACCGATCAAACATATGGCGTAACAAATAATAAAGAAACATGTTTAAAAAGGTTAGTAAAGGATAAGATTAGTAAAGGATAAAGATTTACTTGTTATCGTCAGATTTGAAGAGATGCCCGGACAATTGTGTCGTAGCAGCTATTTGACACTTCCTATGCCCTAATTTGCAAGCCCATCTTGTTCCTAATAATCTCAGTGTTTTATACATATTGTCCTCATCATTTTTTTCTTCGTATCCCAAATTTTGAAGTAAGCCGTCCAATATTTGAAGTACTTCTTCCTAGGTTAAAGAATATTGATACCACATGAATATTGAAATGACAACAGTTTAAAATAACAACATTATAATTTAATTTTAGTACGTAGCGTTGTTTATCGGGAACAGATATTTATATGTATATATAAATACGTGATATATACGTGACATATATCTCAACTTATATGTACATTTTTATGATCAGGAACAGATTACTTTCTATATTTTGGTCCGAATAATTCATCTTCAATATTATGAAACTTTTTTATGACTGTTGCAGACTACGTGTCCCTTAATTAACTTATGAACTGATGAAATTCGTTTTACCGTGCCTACCTTGATATGTTTCACTCCCGTAGTCGGATTATTCCAAATAGGCCACATAAACGATAGAATATTGAACATGGGATACCAGGCTATGTAACTTACATCGTGCTTTAGATAACTTGCAATTCTCCAAAATATATGCGGTGATACGTAGTTTTGTCTCATAAAATAATATGCATCATCAATCAATTGCGCGCGATTGAGGACATTTATTTGATTATAATTATCAGAGTGCAAAACATTTGCGATTCGATTCCAACTATTTTCATCATAATTCACGCGAAAGTATCCTGTTGTAAATTTAATAATCATTATATTGTTATTAATTTACATTTGTATTCACGGAAAACTATTGTAAATAAAATAAAAAAATGTATTATGTCGAAATTGTTTTACGCTTTAAACTGACAGTGTCACGAACTTACCTCGTATGTATACAGGGTGATCCGAAACAAGCAGTTGTGTTTAATATGTCATATTCTTGAGTAAATTCTAAGACTATTATTTCTCTTACAAAATGTTATCCGATGCTTACTGAGTTACTGAGTTATTAAGATTAATAGTTCGTCTATTACGAGCCGGGTACAGAAGGCAGGCAGGGACGGAACAATTAATATCCTACTAATTTATAATACTATATTTGCTATTACACTCACGGTTGTTCAAATTTTTAAGTTTTGAAAATAATACGGATGAATGTTATTATATGCGTCGATTAGCACATCGCACCGAGCAATCAACGTCAGCGCCTAGGCGACGCGCGTCCCAACGATTACTTGTTCCATCCTTGCCTGCTTTCTATACCCGGCACTAGATGAACTATTTATCTTAATAACTCAGTAACTAAGCATCGAATAACATTTTGCAAGAGGAAAAATAGTCTTAGAATTTGCTCAAGAATATGGCATATTAAAGACAACTGATTGTTTCGAATCACCCTATATATACACTTACCACTTTGTTCTCTATTAAATATAGCAAAATCAATATTCTGCCCCAGCTTAATAATTGTAATTTCAGAAGTATCTATCACAATATTACTGATCATGTAAGACAAAGCATTGTATGAAGTATAAGTTGTCGGTACCATCCACGTGTATTTTCTCATGTCGACACTACCAGTGATATTTAATATCACTGTATTATTTTGACGATTGTGAAAAACATTTATAACAGGATAGTATCTTTGACTTAACCACGTATCCATAATTTCACTAATTCTAACCATTTGATTGGTTCTGTCATCAAGTGTATGTTGCAAGGTGATCCAGAGATTATAAGAAGTGGCAGAACGAAACTTACTATAAAGAGAAAAGTTCAACGTTGCGTGTATGTGTGCGTGCACGTGTGTATGTTTATGTTATTAATAATTTATGAATTTTACAATACGAAACACATTTTTACTCAACCACGTGTTCAGTTGAGCGTTTTAACGTAAATGCATAAATATACCGAAATTCTACGTAATAACTAATATGCCCCTCTTAAGCCCGATTAATTAATTAATACATAAACATATAGATTTGAAATAGTATAAATTCTGTCGTACATGTAGTTATCTTTCAAAGCAACACCTAATGGCGAAGTACGTATTATATAATGATGCTACAAAGTGTTACTTACAATTCACGCATATATTTTTTGATAGCTAGTTGAAACTTATCTCGTGTGATCATATGCTCTATCATACGTAAAAGAGCGAAACCTGTAAATAAAACAGAACGATGTATATAACAAGTTTATTTGGTTTACATAGAGTAAGGACCAAGTCTCATAATTTATATGGTATTTTCTTCCAACGATAAATGAATATTTTTTTTTAAATCTCCAGTTAAACATTAACCTTTATTGTAATACCAACGAGAACAGAGGCCAACATCGATCTCATCCGCGACTTCTACATTATATTCGGAAAGAGCTCTCATTTGACAGTTAGTTTCATACTGAAATGTTAACTGAAGAATTTGGATTGCATAGAGATCCATTAATTGAACCGATGAACTAAGCAAACCGATGAAAACCTAGAATAAATCATTCTGATACAACTAAAATATACGCTAGTGCACAAATTAACATTATGCAAATGTACTCCATACTCCAGCAAACATAAATATAACGGTTATATTATTGTAATGTAACGAATATAATTTTGACGCTATATTATATAAGTTAACGTATTATATAATTTGAACATTATATAATATAATAAGTAAATTGCAAACAAATCACAAAAGTATAAGTTACACATACATACACTCATATTAGTAAATAAATAAGTTATAGTACATGTACATTAGATATAATTTTCCACTGATATAAAATTGCAGTTATGTAACATACAAGTAACATGTTACTAAAATATTACAGGATACTTATTGTATATAACGAGACCGTAACTTATGTATAACAGTTATGTTATGAGGTTTCAGGCAAATGTTATATGGCTGAAATATAAAAATTATACAAAATATATGATGATAACCCTTACACCTGTCATGCTTACAAAATTAAATATTTGTTATACTATTTATTCTTCTCACATTAGCAGTAACGGTATTCCATATACAATGAGGTTTGTATATGATTGAAAAACGATTAGAAAAATTAAGAAATGTTTTCAATACCGATCATTTGCCTTTAAATTCAAAAGTATCTCGCCCTCTAGTAATGGTGATAGATATATATTAACCTCGTTCATGATATAATGACTGTAAAGCTTCGATAGTGATTCGCCTATCCACAGATCGGCCCGCCAAGACTGAGTAATCACTGCTGTAAACGGCTGACGTGCCATTTGGTGCGAAATGACCTCACCGATATGAGCCTTATAGCCAGGGAAATCGATATCTTTATCATATAGAACATCTTTTTCGCTGTAAATTGTGAATTAACATAATCAGGTGATGACATGTAGAATTGGCAGTGTGCTTTTCTACAATTTAGCTCCTTCATAAATTACATAAACGTATGAAGTTAATTTAAAAGTTCTAATAACGAAACCCATTAAACACTGCATGATAATAATGTGACATCTATCTTATTGTTAGATATGTGAATTAGTTCGGTCCATCTGGCGGTCAATTGCTGTACTATGTAATTTTCTAATCTCTGTCTATTAAAGGCTTTATTTTTTAGTTTTGATATCTGACAATAATATTCAGTTGATAAACGTTTGGGTTTGTAACAACAACATCGTGTTTATCTGATTCGAAAATGTCGAAATTCGAGGCAAAAAAAGCATCATCTCCGAGAAGTTCTTATTTTCATTTGAAGAAAACAGTCGCTGAAGCTCATCGAATGCTCGTAGAAGCTTATGGTGAAAGTGTTCCTACCATGCAGAGAATCATGCAGAGAATGGTTTCGACGTTTCAAAAGTGAAGATTTCAGTATCGATGACAAACCTCGTTCAGGTCAGCCGAAGAAGTTCGAGAACGAGGAATTGCAGGCGCTAATCGATGAAGATCAGTGTCAATCGCAATATGAGCTCGCGCAATTATTGAATATTGATCGATCAACAATTTCTGTGCGTTTGGCAGTCATGAAAAAGATTAACAAAGAAGGAAGATGGGTGCCATACGAACTGAAAGAAAGAGTCATCGAGAGGCGAAAAGCCATGTCTGAAATCTTGCCTGCCAGGCAAAAAAGAAAAGGTTTCTTGCATTATATTGTGACTGGAGACGAGAAGTGGATATATTTCGATAATGCCAAACGAAGGAAATCCATTAGCGACCCAGGAAAACCATCCACATCGATACCAAAGCGGAATATTCACGGCAAGAAAGTAATGCTCTGTATATGGTGGGACCAGAAAGGTGTAATGTATCATGAACTATTAAAACAGAGCCAAACCATTACTGCCGAACTTTACCAACAACAACTGATCCATTTAAACAACGCATTGAAGAATAAGCGGTCGGAATGTGCAAAGAGACACGACAAAGTGATCTTCCAGCACGATAACGCTCGGCCACATGTTGGAAAGATTTTGAAGGCCACCTTGGAAGCACTGGGCTAGGACGTTTTACTCCGTAATCACCAGACCTGCCATATTCACCAGACATTGCTCCATCCGATTATCATTTGTTCAGATCGATGGTATATGGGCTTTCGGACCAGCATTTCAACAATTATGAAGAAATAGAGAAATGGCTCAATGAATGGATCGCTTCGAAAGATGAGTCGTTTTTCCGTCACGGAATGCAACAACTGCCAGACAGATGGGAAAAAATAATAGCAAGCGATGGCAAATACTTTGATCAGTATGCTTTTTTATGTTTTTTCATACTAAAGTCTTTTTTGGAAGAAAAAACGGACCGAATTAATTTACACACGTAATATATACCTATATATTATAAGACCAAAACATCCCATTGAATTTATTGTATTATTGGGGAACACTATGTGATTCCTCTTAGGCAATACACCGATTAATCCCGTAAAGAATGTCAAGTAATAATCGGCAGCTGCAATTATATTCGTTGCATATTGTAGCATCTTCTTTTGCGACATGTGCCAAATGGTGTCACTGTTAGATATTTCACTCTTTGTACGATTATCGTTATCTTCAAGCAGAGCAATGAACACGTTGGAAGGAGATATCGGAGGCGTATCATTAAAATACGTCTTGTTAATTTCGGAGTTAAACTTTTCAGTGTATAGTTTAGGTTCATTCGAGAAAACTTTTAAATTCTCAGGATATAGTACAGATATGTTGAAAACTGCCTTTAATTCGGGCTCATCCCAACATGGAAACACTCTCCGAGCCATGTTAGGTTGCATGATGACTAACCTATATTAGAACATATTGTAAACATAAAATATTTTAACCATTCTATAACGTAAACGATGTGGAAAAGAGTTTTCTACATATATGGATAAATTATACATAGAAAAATTCGGATATATTAGCATGTGTCGCGATAGTAGAGAGTAGCGCGCTCGAATGCTAGAGTTTGTAGTGCAGCCCATTTAGTCTAACAATAGCTGTCGACGTACTTTTTTCCTTTAGTTACGCGACGGCGACTGTTATTAAGCAAAGTGGTTCGCTAGAAATTCGAACGTCCGAGCGCGCCATCCAGTACCGCCGCGACACACGCTAATTCATCCCATTTATTCCATGCATAACTTCATCCATTTTAACGATTTTTGCAAAATGCCATTTGATCCTTTTCTTTATCTCAATCAGCTGTATGCCTCTATTGGCTATTTGAGTTAGCAAACATAAAGCATATATATGAATTATACAGGATGTTCCACAACTTGCTACAAGAAATTCGTGGAGATATAGAACGAATTAAGACAAACATATAGCCTCATACTGTTTTGCGATATTCGCAATAATTATTGAATTATTGATTATAGAAATGTGACGAGTGAACGCACACAGATATGCATGATTTGAGAAGAATACAGCTACCCGTGTTATTGCGCGGTCCAGTCGATTCAGCAACTGTTGTCGGTGATGAAGAGAAGGACAATGTGCCGCGCTGCTTGTCTTATTTTAATGCCGAGATGCCATTCCTAGATCTCGCCGCACGACAGCTGAATCGATTGAATCGCGTTAAGCCCGAACAACTCTTCTAATATTATCTCGGCGCACGATCACTTATTAGACTTTTATGATTCATAATTCGATAATTATCGCGAATACTGCAAAACAGTATGAGACTTTTATATTTGTCTTAATCTGCCATATGTTCCCATGTTACGAATTCATTGTATCGACTTATGAGATATTCTCTACATAACTCATAATATTAATATTGTCTGCATATGATCTCACAAAATTGTACGAAATTTAATTTATATATATGTCAATACTGAAAAAAGGCTGGTATACAAATGTAAATTATGTAAATGCTTGTTTTCGCAATTATGATCATTTTTAATTGATTTATATATCGACATAGGGATTCTGGACAAATACTTTGTCGATAAATATTTTACAAGGAAACGTTGAATTAATCGGTTTTATTTTTTATTTTTACGAATGATAACTAAATAAACCAGTATAAGCAGCATAACACTTGTACCAGCAGAAAAGAATGTTTACATACAATGGTTAGCAGTATGATTCTCGCAAATTCTTACCTTGCTTTCTCAAGATTTGTTCCACTTTTCTTGTATTCGTATTTAACTACACCGTTCCAAGAACGGTCCCAAGGACGGCGAATAGTAGAGCCAATTGTCAAGTTATAAGTCCCAGGAACTATTACTTTATCAAACTGCAAATCCAAAATCTGCGAGCGTTTGCAATAACGGTAGCCAGTTAATCTGTAGCCTTCAAGTGAGTTGGTATTTACAACCTTTATCCGAGTGTTGATATTCAATTCATAGGCGTGCAAACTTATGAATCTCATCGAATTTTCAATAATAATCGTGATATCACTTATACAGTCAACTACGTTCCATGTCGGATTCATTAGCGCAAGTATTAGGATATTTAAGTTATATCGAATTGGCCGAGTGTTAGAAACCAGTAAATCATTATAAGAGGAAAAATCGCAATGTTGCAGGTCCATGTCTAAAGATTGATCATGATCGGTAGCAAAGTAGTCTGGCATAACAGCGGCGCATATCGAAATGTAACTTAATAATATTAGGAATTTCATGTAAATATTTCTCAAAGCCATATATGTACCTATATGGGGAATTTATTTGTTAGCAGAATATTAGTTAATGATACGTTTTTATATGAGGTCATTATTCCATAATATTGTTACTTAATGTTGATATTAATGTAAGAAAACTAATACAACGGATATAAGGAATTCAATATCTCTTACCTATGTGAATATATGTTCTGTATTTGATATTTCCACTTCTAGTGCTCGTTGCCTACTACCGTATGTAGCATGAATACAGCTTCTGATATAGAGGTCCGTTTACTGAACACAAAAAATATAAACACAAACCACGTAACAATAAGTTACGTTTTGAAAAACACCTTGACGCTAGATTGATTACATACAAAGAATTTTGCCAGGTAATAGCATATTTAGTTATTATTGATAACCTGAACTGATATTAAACAATATGGAAAATATCACATTTCATATATTACTTTGGAAATTTTACTGAATTTAACAATTTTGTAAACTTTGACAAAACATCGCAAAGATTGACAAGAAAAATTGTTTTAAAAACTTGAAAGAGAATAAACTTTGTATGATATTTGTTCAGTAAGATTTTAATATATATTTACAAAAAAAAAAGACAAACATAGTTAACTTTTGAAATAATCTGTATTATTTTCAACAAACTTCTCTCATCTTTCGGGCAGCTGCCGAATTCTATTTCGGTAAAAAGATTGTGATTTCACTCAATAATATCAATAATGCTTTTTCATCCCTGATTACGATTTTGTGAAGAAAGTCGTTTTGTTTGAATTGTAACAACTAGGACATTATCGTATCAGAGCGTCTCACAATTTTCGGCATTCCACTACGTTCTGCATCAATAACATCAAAATGGTCACTTCGAAACCCACTTTGAAACCATTTTATAAATTTTGTGGATTACAGCATCTTCATCTAAACCGAAACAAATCATTTTGGCGGCTTCAGTAGCAATTTTTTTTAACCAGAGCACAAAAAATACAGTGCTTAATATACTCCTTCTGAGAAGACATGGTACAAATTACTGTTTTATGAGTTTATTTCGTGAGTAGAGAAAAGTTATGGGGCGTTTGAAAGGGTAAAACTGATACTTCAAAATCCCAAAATAATAGGAAATAATTTTAATTTATAACAGAATTATAACTGATTGAATGTAAAGATCGATCTCTTTTGTATGTCTAATACACTCATCGATCTCATTTGTATATTTAAGATATACTAGGTATGTAAATTAAATCAGTGCTTTCACATTTACTTGGTCTTAAATAATATTTTGAATTTAAAAAAATTTTTTACCGCCATAATATAGTTTTGGAAGGACGTTATTTATATTTATAAAATGCTATGTGACTCATCCGCATTTTTAGATCAATATGATGTCAAAAATCAATTGTGTTCAAGACGGCTGCTGACAAGATGCATGCCCGCTAACAATAAAATAATTAATTGCTTTGCGCTCGACCTACGTCATAATATTTCGTATTTCTACCACGGAAAGAACCTCCAAGGCAAATTAACTGAAAAATAAAGCCAGAGTTAATTTGACAATTATATCCGCAATGACAAGCTGAATTAGACTTAAAGAAATTGTTATTATATTTAAATCACAAAGAGGTTTTGAAAAAAAAATAATATCATATTTATAGCCGATATTAGTAATTAACTATAATATAATAGTATAATAATAGTATAATAATTGTTATGAACGTTTGTAACGTAATACAATTTTTCTGATATAAATTCTTGTTGGTATCGCACAATTTATATTTGGAAAATATCATGTTTTATATACCACTTCGCAAATTTCATGGAATGTAACAAATTTATAAATCATGATGAAACATATTGCGAAGATTAACAAGAAGAATTACTTTGAAAACTTATAAAACAGAATAAATTTATTACTTATTTACTATAAATATGTTACTTATTAAATTGAGAAATAAAAAAAACTTGATATGATAAAATTTGATTTCTTAATATTAAAATTAGTATTTTATAGGAAAATGAATAGAATTTATCGAGATCAGCAAATTCAATAACCTATACTTTTATTGGCTAATTCAGTAGGCTATATTTTATTTATTTATCCTTGAGACATCTTACAGAAGATAGTGCTGCCTGGATTCTTAAGCTATTTGAGATTAACGGATATATGTAGTGGACACTTATGAAAGATTTATATTGTATTACAATATTTAGCATTCTGAAATTACTTCTAATGTTGCATTACAATTAATGAGGTCAAATATATACATAAAGTTTTCACTTAAAATATTTACAATAAATAAATATCCAGGAAACTCCAGGAATTAAATATCACAGTATTATTTTGGATACTTCCAGGTTATCCTAGGATATTTTCAGAATATTTTCTTATCCTGAAAATATCTCATGATATCCTGAACATATTCAGGATTATCTTGAGGACATCTTGTACTGTCTGAGTTTGGAAAAAGTTCAAAAAAGAGACAAATAGGTTTTCCATCTCCTCAGTATCAATAACAAAAATGGACGTTACGCACATACAACCTTATCTTTATTGTCAAAGTTTAAGAAAGTGATTTCTGATATCAAATATATATAATATACACAGTCTGTCCCAGATCCAATGAGACTGGTCTAAAAAAATATAAAGCCTTTATTATTTTGATTTTTTATTCTTGTTTATTCAAATTAGTCTCCTTCTGAGTCAATACAGCGCCAGAAACGTTCAACAAATTTTTCGAAACATTTTTTATACTCATCGGCTGGAATAGCCTTTAATATGGCGGTAGAAGTCTTTTGGATGACCGGGATGGTATCGAAACGATTTCCTTTCATCGCCAATTTCAGTTTGGGAAATAGCCTGAAGTCGCACGGAGCCAAATCAGGTGAATACGGTGGATGATCGATAACAATGATACCTTTTTTGGTCAAGAATTCACGTACCATGATGGCTTTGTGCGATGGTGCATTATCGTGCAACAAAAACTAACTGCCTGGCTCTCGATATTCCGGTCGAACTCGTCGAATTCTGGCCCACAATCGTTGTAGAACTCCCAGATAATATCTGGGCAGACACACAGCGGTCGCTTCGAAGAATTTCTTTGACTTTCTCGATGTTTTCTTCATTGCGAGTGGTTTTTGGCGGCGGTGCTCGGTCATCGTCTGCAAGGTCCTCACGACCGTCACGGAATCGGCCAAACCAACGGAAAATCTGTGCACGGGACATGCATTCATCCCCGTACACATTTTTTAGCGTTTCGTACGTTTCTGCACCACTTTTACCCAATTTAAAAGTTGGTTTCTGGACCGACGTACACAAAGTGACTTTACATAAAATGTCAAACCACAGTGAAATATCAACCGAATTCGCTCAAATTTTGAGGTTAAGTAGATGAAGGGTAGAACATTCACCTACCATCACATTCACTCATAGATATCGCTGCGCTAAGAACTTTGATGGAACCAGTTTCATCGTATCTGGGACAGACTGTGTATACAGGGTGCGTACGGTATTTGAGGACACTCATATATGTGAATGTAATTTCTGGAGAATAATTTTGTTTGTTTTTTTTCTTGTCAGATCATCAATGGAGGACTATAAAATAACGCAAGAAATGAAGAGACATGCAGTTATCGTCGCTATATGCGCGAAACACACCGATTTAGAAATCTCCAATTTTCTCAATTGCGCCCGATCATTCGTACATAAGGTTCGTCGTGAATTGGAAACATCAGCTAGCGATGTAGAAACTGTTGCAAAACGCAAAAAACATGAGGAACGTTCGGACACTACTAGAAATACACAATTTGTCCAACAAGTGCAAGAGATCATTGACGAAAGCCCTTCAAAGTCCATGAGGACCATTGCGAGGGACCTGAATGTCTCTGAGAGCCTAATCCGTCGAGTTGTCCACGAAAACCTCCGCTATATGTCCTACGTTATGCGCAGAGGACAGTTTATGTCGGCACAAACTTAGGAATAGAGACTTATCCGAGGAAAACGTCTTTTGAACAAGCTTAAGCACCCTGAAGTTCCTAACATGTTGTGGTTTTTTTCTGACGAAAAAATTTCGACCAAGACCAAAAAATCAATCGGAGAAATAACAGGTGGTTATGTTCACATCCTACAGAGGTTCCCCGTGTTATGCACACGAAGTTTCCAGCAACTGTCATGGTTTTAGGAGTTGTGAGCAACGAAGGACATGTTATGCCACCCTACTTCTTTCAGGGGCTTTGGGTGAATGCTGCCGCCTGCATCGAGGTTTTAGAAACAGCTGTGATTGATAGTGTACGTGGGGACAGACCATACATATTCCAGCAAGACTCTGCTCCTTCACACAAAACCATGACGACACAAGATTGGATGATCGAAAATTTCTATGACCACATTACCCCAAACTTATGACACCTAGCGCCCCAGACCTTAATCCCCTGGATTATTACGTATGGGGCGTAGTTGAGCGGGAGACCAATAAACATCCTCATAATAATATTTCATCACTGAAGGATGTTATAATAACAACAATGATCAAAATGAACAAAAAGCATTTGATTCGGGCATGAAATCGTTTCCGACTCCGGATTGAGTCCGTTATTGCCGCTAATGGAGATTTTATTGAGTAATTGTATAGTCTAGGAGTCAATTAACGTCGTATAAAAATTTCATGGAATTATAATAGATTTTGCAAAAAATATGAACAAATTAGTTTTAATGTCAATTTGTCCTCAAATACCGTACGCACCCTGTATTATTATCATGTAATACAATGTGTGTATACAAATATGCAATGCACGTGTAAATAAAAAATTTGAAAATGTAATAATAATAAAAACATAAAATATAAGAACAATAGAAACATGAATATGTGAGAATAACGTGGTAATAAAATACAATAAAAATGCAATTACAGAAAACAAACATCACTGTTTTAAACACAGACATCTCAATTCATTGCCCAATTTGCAACAGCTTTCAGTTTGGCCGCTTTGTTTATTTGAACTCTATTATTTTTCGTATTTTAAACATTTTTCGCCTTTGAGCTGATTTTATTACATATACATCATTCATGTTTATTTTCAATAAGTGAGCATTAACTTCTGCAAATTTTGTAATCTGAAATAGGTCAGTTTGATGAGTTCATAACAGAATTTAAATATTCATTTTCATCTATTCTTAACTTTAGCAAAAATAAATTATTATATGTATTGCGTTTGAAAATGAAATTAATTAAAAATGAATT